GACTGGTAAGATAACCGTTTGATAGGGGGCACCGCGATGATTCACGGGGCCCCTCCTTGCTGTGGGAGCCGCTCTTTGAGCACTCCCTCTTTCGTCCGTGTGAAGGATGGTCGTCTACCTCCCGTGAAGTTAATACATCACCAAAACAGTCTCACCCGATAAATAAGTGGCGTAGGCCGCAAACAGTTTCACCATGGAAGATACGTTCCACGTAGGTATCACCATTCGTCCCCTGTGAATGCAACCCAACGCCCGGGATGAAAAGACCACGGGTAGCGTCATCAGTCCCAGTCTTGCTTTACTCCGTGCGACCTATTGGGATAATTTCTCGTTTGATTCACCACTGTACACTACCTAACACAACCCAGCTTTCAGCACTCGGCGGTATTGCACTCTGAACCTTTCCCTAAAACTGTGTGTGGGAGTTAGCAGCTACTGCAGTACTGGGGACCTTCGACGTTCGCCAGCCAAGCAGTACTAAAACGTGCAGATGGTGACGCCACATCGCAAGCGGCCAACGAGAATATGTCGAGGGTGAGGCGTCGGTCGAAACTATACAGTAAATCAAGAAGAGATCGCGTTGAGTTATGGCTGCGTGTTACCATTCCCACCATACGCTCATTTCAGTCCACAGGCAAGACAAAGCGAACCTATGCATACGGTCGTCGCTTCACCTGGCACATCCCTTTCGAAGGCACTCGCGCGTGTTGGCCTGCGCGCGGTGAGACTTGCTGCAGTAGTCGGACTCCTACAAGTGCAGATATTCGAAGCAGCAAGAAGCCAAGATGGCCAACGAGGTTAGCATAACGCTAAACCCAGAAGAGAAAAGCACTGCCTCTGTGTAAAGAGTGTGTTGCAGGCCTCGAGGACGACCCGCACTCACTCGCGTCACACTCGGAAGTAGATTTCCACGAGACAAGTTCAGTTTTCTCCGAAGAAGAGGTGCACCATGATTGATAATTCGGGTGGCTCAGATGTGTGTGATGGGAGTGTAGAGCAGCTCGGCCATGACGGGCCGTAGGGGTAGGTAAAGTCGTACAGACGTGTGGAAAAACGTGTTGTATTAATCGGGGGCGTGCTCGTGCTCGTCAAACCATCACGGTATCGAGTCACGCCTTCATGCTTTCTCACACAACGAATGTCCGAGAAAAAACAAATTTCTCTTTACCATCTCTCCAAAACAAACCAAGAAAATTCTCAAAACAAACAATAACCAATATCTTCGCCAAAACAATCCAAAATCCTCCAAGTCCATCACAAGAAAAGTCAAACATAATCNCCATCACGGTATCGAGTCACGCCTTCATGCTTTCTCACACAACGAATGTCCGAGAAAAAACAAATTTCTCTTTACCATCTCTCCAAAACAAACCAAGAAAATTCTCAAAACAAACAATAACCAATATCTTCGCCAAAACAATCCAAAATCCTCCAAGTCCATCACAAGAAAAGTCAAACATAATCAAAACTCCTCCAAAACAATCAAGAAAAATCCCAACACAACTCCAACACTCTTACCACCTTCACCAGACTCTCTCTTCTCTTGTCCAATCTCGTCTCTCTCTTTCTCTCTCCGCTACAGCATACGAATCGACCCCAAAACACTTCCTTCACTGCGAGTTCATCACAAAGTCACGGTGCAACGCAAAAGACTCCTTGCAAATAGCCTTCGTCAAGAAATCTGCATGCTGAAATTGCGTTGGCACATGAGTAATTGAGATCTCTTTCCTCTCTACCAGCTCCCTGATAAAGTGATGCCGTACATCGATGTGCTTCGAATTGGAGTTCGTGATCGGGTTGTACGCAATCTGAATCGCTCCCTGATTATCCTCGAATACCGGGATGCACGGCATACCCGCATCTGGCAACATAAAACGCCAAACCTTCCTCAAGAAAAGCACTTCCTTCAAGACGTCGGCAATTGCCACTTTCTCTGCTTCCGTTGTGGAGAGCGTAACGCACTTCTGCGTCCTCGAAACCAAGTCACACAACCACCCCCACACATCACTAGCCCTCCTGACACCGATCTACGGTCTGTCGCCTTGCTTGCATAGTCGGCATCCACAAATACCTGCATGCTCATCCCAGTCACCACTCCCCTCTCAAATTTAATCCCCATCCAACTCGTCCTACGTACGTACCCTAAAATACCGAGTGCTGCCTTCCAGTGCACCATCTTGGGAGATGAACAATACCGC